TGAAGATATTTGGAGAACTTTGGTGTTGTTTTGCAAGCTCAATGGCCGGCTGTCTTAGGGAGGAAGAGAGAGGGAATTTTGATCTAAATGAGCCTTCCAAAAGAAGCTTTAATGTGTGGCTATAATTCCCTCTAAAGTCAACTCTTCAATAGTGCGCATACGCGCGCGTTTCGTGCTCGATTCCTCTCGAGTTTATTTCACCAGTACATTTAAACCTCCAATGCACTTATATTCATACTATTATTATTCACTCTTAAAGGTATAAAATGAAGGTCTAAAGTCTCCCAATTAATCGCGCGCGTAAAAACGCGTACGTCCTATTTAAGCGCGATAAAGTGAAACTTCCAAGAAATTCTTATAACGATAATATAACTAACTAACATTTGAACTCTTAAACATAAAAATACCTATTTTAGGAATAATGTACATGTCCCCGAGTTCCAAGCTTATTGTACTCTCAATCGGTTAAGATTTCCAAACAAGTTTTCACTATTTTCATTAAACAAGCTCCCAAAAATTAATTTTTGAAACAAGCCACTTTAAAAATATAATGAAGCTATAATTCCATATATTTAGGTCTAGTATGGGTAGAAAATAATATTCAGGGCAAATATCCAAATAAATAATTAATTGAGCAAAAAATAGAGGTTGAAAAATAAGAATTTTTACGAGTCTTCACAAGTGCCAATTAAGGCAACAACCTAAACACTGTCTCCAAAAGGCATGTGCTGAGAAGAGGCACTCCCGGAAATAGGATAACAAGCAACAATAGTGTAGTCAGTAATTGTTGTTGTCCTGATCATCCTGGACAAATGTTTAAGGTAACACAACAGATCCTTTCCGTCAATCTAATGAGACACACGCTTGGAGATCTCAAAAGTCTGCACAAAATCAATATGCCATAAATTTGAGCAAATAAATTAATTGGACAGTAAAAGCAAAACCATGAACACCTGAAATATTAGAGCAACTTCAATAAACTTAAACACACATCACCTGATGGTCAGAAACACGATACATATTAGCAACACTTAGGCCGATAAGGTTCTCAGCTTCTGGACCCAAGGCAATAACATTCACATAACCAGTATTGTCGAACACAGTAAGCCGAACCCATGCCCTATCAGACAACACATGATATGCAGCAAGTTTATAACATAAATACAAGCAACTGCATACTAATAACACAGAAACATACATAAAGGCAATAGACTAAGAGATCACCTAGGGAACTCATGCATTCCTTGACCACAACTTAGGCATATGATCCCCAAAGTTGACGAAAATTCATAGGGCTCATAACAATGGGGACAGGCCATATGCCAAAAATGAGCCAAAGGCCATGCAATTTCAACACGACCCTTAATCCAAAAAGTCCCCTGGTCCTAGAAACAACAAAAGAGTAGTTGAGCAGGGGCCAAAACAGAAATGTAAACAAAGGCATAACCGAAATAAGTATACTAAAAGGAGTACAAAATTACAATACCCTGACACTAACAGATGTAGCCTGGGATATAACATTATAGATCGGTGTGAACGTCGCGTCACGAACAGGGGGCAACAAAATGCATGGATCAAGGTAGGCCATATCATCAAAAACCATACGAACCAGCTTTGATATATTAGCATTAGACCTACACGAACAAAGTAGTTCTGTGCATAAAAAAATCTTCAAAAAAATATAGAAACATAAAATAAATAAATAGAGAATGACTACCAATCATCAAGATGTCTTGCTTCAAGAACATTAGGAGCAACAATGATAACAGATGATGGCTGAGTTGACAGTGACAAGTCTGAAAAAATAGAGCAGAAAAACATGCATAAGCAAAGAAACCACACAGGGAGAAAAAACAGAGCTGACAAGGAACCATACAATTATGTTTGGTAACCCTGAGCCTCATAGCAATAATAATCGGTATGGACGCCATTGATTCATTAATAACATGGCCCTCAATAACCTTATAATCATCCCACAAAGTCAACACCACTGGGCGTTTACTGTATGCATCAAACACAGAAGCAGAACAATCTTAAAATAAGCAGCAAGAAGCTATCGTATGGAAAGGTCTTGAGAGGGAAACAATCTCAAAACAAATAAAAGGTCCTGTTTCAAAGAGGGAAAAATTCACCATTGGTCCACTATAATATAATCTCTTCCATGTCGCTTACTCCCTTCAAAATACACATCCCGTGGAGGCAATGCATGGATAACAACTCCCATGACATCTAGGTTAAAAGCACACATGCACACAATCAGGAACAATCAAATGCCAAGAAAGGAAAAAAATGCAAAATATGTCAATAAAGAGACTAACTTATGAAAATATTTGTGTCAGCCACAAAGTGAAAGTATTGAAAAGAGCGTAACTCAAAATAGAAAGGAAGGACCAACTCCCCTGAGCCAACAGTTTCTTCGATAGTAGTTCCCTCGTTGATACCCCAGTAAAATGAATACAGGCCAGCTCCCACAAGTTCAGGAATTTCACGGACCTCTGCATTTGATATGTAATACTTCCTAAATGGCAAAAGACGGCCATCAACAATAGCAATGTCATCATCAAAGACAACTGCAGAGACCTTGATACCCTGTTCATAGGGGGAAAAAACTCAACAGATTCAATTAGTGAGACAAAAAGATAATCAACACAATTGAAGGTGGGCAAGAAGGATCAATTCGGATAGCACAAACCTGCAAGTCACCAAACTCAAAACGACGGAAAGACCTGGATAAATCCCCATCCCGAGCAATCTTTACATGATCAGCTTCGATAACTTGTACCAGCACAGTCCAATCAAATGCAGACTCATCAACTTGCGATATGCAAAGAGTCCCAGTAGCCATTTCTTAGAGTGCACAGAAAAAAGTAGCAGCAAAACATTAGCCAACGAAATCTTTTGTAATCAGCAAGGCTATTAGAAATATAAGAAGAAAAAACAAATGCACAACACAACAAGGCTAATGAAACATGCAAGAAGAACTTGAGGGAAACAACAAGGAAATGCACTAAGAAAATAAATAAAACTCAAGGCAAAAAAGATCAACCCATTTATACAAAAATCATTGTGCGCAAAGATCATATTTACATGCACACAAAGATCATCTCACTTAGATGGATTTCTCTAAAAATTTTCCCCACTCTACGTTAAAACCGCCAGAGAAACCCGTAAAAAGTGAAAAAGGGGCTTGGTAGCCATTTCCACCAGCCAAGAAAGTTATTATTAACCAACAATGCCAATAAAAACAAAAAAAATGTAAGAAGCAGAAGCACATGCATAACACGGAAAAGAGAGTACAGATCAAAAAAAGCTAACAAAAAAAATGAAATAAATTCAAGGGAAACCAGTTGTAGCATTACTTGAAAATAACATATGCATATCACAGAAAGGAGCGTACAGAACAAAAAGGCTAATGGAAAAATGAAATAAAAATCCAAGTGAAAATAGCAACGAAATCCACAGAAATTTGAGAAGCTCAGAGCTACAACTCTGCAGAGAGCTTTATACTTAACGGCAAAATTACTCCCTTATAACTCATTTTAGAAAAAATTAAAAAAAAAATTGCTGAAATAAATAAGCAAAGAACAAATTGCAGTGTAAAATGGGGGAAAAAAACCATACGAAGCAAATACGCAGAGGAACAATGATTACGATAAAAAAAGCACCAGTAAAAGAAGCTCGTAATCAAGCTAGCCAAAGAAGGCAATGAGAGAAAGGAACTCAAAAAGGGGAACGGGTTCAAGGGCACAACGAATTTGAGAAAATGGAAATGAGAAAGCAGATGAGAAAACCCTAGGAAAAAAGGGCATAACCAACCCGTGTTGGAATTCGGACGACATCGGAAGACACAACCATGATGAATCACGCCAATTACCATTCTTGAGAAAGCTCTGCTGTCAGCTCCGGACAATGCAGCTGTGAGAGCCAGGAAAAGAAAGGAACTGGTGAGGCCATTAATTCCAAAGCAGAAAACCCATGGGTGACCCAATTACCCGAACCATTCCAATGGAGCATCTGGAACCGCAAACTTACACAGCTCACGTGTGCGGCACATGACGACGACAAAACCCCTTGGTGCATTGTATGTTTTGTTGATATGTAGAAAAATGACCAATTTCATTCCTAAACCTTTTCACTAGTGTCAATTTTATTCCTAACTTTTTATTTCTAACCAATTTAATATGTGAACTTATTTTGCCGTTTCAACTGAGGACTTTCGTAGCGACGCCACCACTTAAAACAGATCTGACTTCTAATTGATTAACTAAATAGGGAAACTTTGAGAATATCACTCACGCGACTGGAATAAATCAATGTATTAAAAAAATCACAAGATTAAACTTCAAAGAAGTTTTATCTGGTAATTTTTTATACGATTTAGAAGTTTGATTTGCTCATTTCATTATAATGTCACGAGTAGTATTTCTATAATACCTCTATTTTAGTTAGTCAATTAGAAGTCATATTAGTTTTAAATAGTAGTGCCATTGGGGGGTCCTTAATTGGAATTGCAAAATAAGTTCAAGTATCAAATTAGTCAGAAATAATAGTTAAGAACTAAATTGACATCGAAATTTAGGGATGAAATTAGACATTTTTCCTTTTTTCTTATTTGTCCTATTATGGCAGTCGAAAATCAATGGAAAGGGGAAAGTGAAAAGGTTTCGTAAAAAATTGCCATTTTTTTGGATACTTTGGATATTTTAGTAAGATTTTAAGGGCAAATCGGCCGTGTCGCTCTTTTATCCCATCGGATTTAGCTTCATTTTAAATCATGTGGCAAATTAAGAGTTGGGGATAGTTAATTGCGAAAATTAAAAGTTTGGGGTACAAACTTCAGTCTAGGCATAATTGAGGAAGGCAAAATGCAATTAACTCAACTTAAAATCCACAATCCAAATCAGCTGCTTATCCGCAACGGATCTTCCGTCTTACATCGTATGCCATTTTCTATCCCATTTTTTATTATATTGCTATTTCTTCTATGTAAATATCATATTTTAATTCTTTTTTATTTTTTTAAGATCTAATAACTATTAATTAAGTAAAAAATAAATACATAGCTTCAAAAAATCAAGGCAGCAACCAAAAGCCCCTGCAGAAACATATATTTTCTTTCAAGAATTCTCTCGTCCTCTTCACTGTAAGGTTTCTTCACTTTTTCTCTTTTTTTTTTTGGCTTTTAATTCTTGCTATTGATTTATTGTTTTAATCCGTTTATAGGCTAAAGCTCACCACCTGAACATGCGTATGGATGTGTTTTGGCTTGATTTTTTTTGTTCTTTTTGATGCTATTTGGTTCATGGTTTTTTTTTCTTTGATTCATCAATGTGATTGTGATCGAGATGCGTTCAATTTTTTTTTTAAATCAGAGTTGTGATGTTGTTTACTAAGGTTAGAATTTTATCTGCATAAACTGGTTGGTTTGCTCCAAAAAAAAAAAAAAAAAACTGGTTGGTTTATCTGCATTTTGGGTATGCAGCCTTTCTGTATTGTTTTAAGTTCTCATTTGACGGTACTTTTTTGGTAATGAATGAGAATGATGTTCAATTTTCTTTCTTTCTCAGCAGGATAATTGTGGATATTTTGGTATTTTTCCCCTTAAATGCTGTTTTTTTGTGTTTTTTTTGGGCCCCCCGGGGGGGGGGGGGGGTTCAAATTATCTGTCTTGGGCGATTCTGTAAGGTGCTTCACTTTTTCCCTTCTTTTTTTTTTGGCTTTTGATTCTTGCTTTTGATGTATTGTTTTACTCCGTGTATAGGCTAAAGCCCACCACCGGAACATGTGTATGGATGTGTTTTGGCTTGATTTTTTTATTCTTTTTTGATGCTATGTGGTTCATGTTTTTTTTTCTTTGATTCATCGATGTGATTGTGATCGAGATGTGTTCAATTTTTTTTTCCAAATCAGAGTTGTGATGTTGTTTACTAAGGTTAGAATTTTATCTGCATAAACTGGTCAGTTTGCTCCAAAAAAAAAAAAAAACTGTTTGGTTTATCTGCATTTTGGGTATGCATGCCTTTCTGTATTGTTTTAAGTTCTCATTTGACGGAATCTTTTTGGTAATGAATGAGAACTGATGTTCAATTTTCTTTCTTTTCCAGCTGGATAATTGTGGATTTTTTGGTTTTTTTTCCATTAAATGCTGTTTTTTTTTTGTTTTTTGTTTGGGAGGGGGGGGGGTTCAAATTATCTGTCTTCTGGGCGATTCTGGAAGCGGCGAGTTGTCTTTTTTTCCCCTCCGTTTGAAGGGATTTTGGATGTTGTGATTGATTCTGGAGAATGGTTTTGTGTTAGCTGTAGGAGTTCTTTTTCCCCCATAAGTGTGCACAGGCATTTTTTGGTGATTCGGGATGGAGATAAAATGGTGTTGTGTGAAGGGATTTGATGTCATGGATTATTTCGGAGTAGAGTTCTTTTGATGGCTTTTATAGTACTTTTTTCTTTGCATGGGTGCATACACTTTTCTTGGTGATTATTGAAGGAGATGAATGGTGTTATGAAGGGATTTGGATGTTGTGGACGATTTTGGAGTAGGGTTTTGTGCTTGCTGTAGTAGTACTTTTTTCTGTGGATGGGTACACACATGACTGCATGTTTTTTGGGTGATTCTGGAAGATGGAGCGGCGTTTTTTCTTGTGTTCTTGAAGGATTTGTGGATTGCTGATGAGTTTCTAGTGGGTTTTTGTGCTGGACCCCAAGATTGGTTATTTATATGTCATGGTTTGAAGCAGGTTCAAAAGGTCAACTATGGGGTCATTTGTTATTGTAGGTGTTATCAATTTTTGTAATGTCTTCCCTTGCTGCCTGGACAATTCACATAGACCAGTCAGGATTTGGAAAGTTGTTTTTTGACCAGTTAAATTTCTGACGGTTGCTTCTTTTATTTACATTGTGCACTCAATCATATGCTGCTTGTGCTTGCCTTTTTCTTTTCCTTAAAAAGACGCTAGATGTTTGTGGGCGTTGAGCCACTATTTATGCCTACCTCGTATAAGTGTAGCTGTGATTGTTCCGTGATTTATAGCTGCAGGTTTTTGAAAAGTTGCCATTGTCTTTGTACTTTGAAAACTGTGGCATGCACATCTGTTTCGTATGTGTTTGAGAACATGACACGTGGTTTATTATTCTATTTTTATGGGAATTATACATGATTCAAATTCTTTTCGAATGTTCATTTCTATATGCTGTAAATTTTGTCTTCTGCAGCAAAATGTGTTTAAGAAATTCGAAGTGTTGGAGCCTAGATTTGTCGTGCTCTCTGGTACTGCCAATAGCTAAGTATAAAGCTGAGGTAAATACTTGTATGCCTTGGTTAGTTTGCCCCCAGTGAATGCATCTGTGTTAATTTGTTGTCAATGAATTGTTAAATTTGGGCCTTTTGGCATTAACCTCCTATTATCATTTATCCTAGATGTGGGGGTATCCATTTAATTGTGACTGCACAAGTTTAGATTTAAAGCAGATTCTGAATATGCTTGTGATAGAGCATTTAATGGCTAGTGAAACGATGTTGCTTAGTCAATTTGAGATTTTCTTGTTATCTTTTGGTCGACTTGCTCCTTAAAGGGATATCACAGACAGGCCCCCACCCTCCTCCCTACCCAAAATGAAAAGAAGACATAAAAGAACCAAACAGAAAAAGTAGAAAACTAAAAGGAAATGAATGATTGGTTTTCCTTTAGGTCGGAAAAAAGGACGACTGGTCAGACCATTAGACATCTTTAAGGTTCACACTATTTATGACTCAATTCTAAGTCAGGAAAAATGATGCTGTATAAAATAGTGCAAGCAAAAAGTTTGGGAGTGCTTCGTCATTATGCAGAGATTTATATAACTGTTTGCTTGCTGATATGGAACAATTGATATGCTTGTCTCTGTGGATCCAATATGGATTGAAGGGCTAAAAGTAAGACAAAAGGAAGTTAATGAGAAAGATAATTGAACTAGTTTACTGAGACATTGCCAGAAATAGTCATGCTATGTATGGTTTTTGGTCGAGGGGTGTTCATTTTGACCTTGGTATTATGGAGAGAGGTTCTTCTTAGGTTGCTGGTAGCATACTATAGTTACATGTAGGATTCAACCAATTTGCTCTTTTCTGTATCGGAAACATCCTCGACGAATGTCATCTACATTCCAACTTTGGAAGTTGCCTTTTTACAAGTAATGCAAAGGATTGCATCTAAATTCACCATTGCAATTGCATTTTTTTTTCTTTTCTGTGAGTGGTCATGTGTTATGGACACTTAATCCAGCATAAGCTTCTCCATTGTCAGTTATCTAAATCTAATTTAGGTCGAATGGTTGATTGTTGGAAGGGAAATCCAAAAACTTTCTTGTTGTGGGGCCACCATTGAAGAATAATAGAGAAATGGGCATATGTGGAGTTGTGGTGTTTAATTATGACTGGCACCATATAAAGATTTTAGCTGTTGCCTATCTTCTTAACAAAGCTTCCATATAGTCAAAAGCACAACTATTATGTTTGGAGTTACTTATCCTCATTCAGATGGGTACTGGTCTTTCTGTTAAAATCTGTTTGGAACATGTAAAGAAATATTATTCTATGAAGAATGATGAAGGTCAGAATTTGTTTCTTTTTTTTCCTGATTCAAACATTGTCACATCTCTGGGTGTGGTTGCATGCTCATTCATAAGTTTCGTTGAATGCTATCTAGAATTAATATGTAATTCAGCTGATATAAATGCTTCAATGAGTATCGTGAGGTGATTCTCTTGCCTCCTGAGGTAAAAGTGGTTCTTGAAAATAAAAGGAAATGATAACTCTTCTTAATGATGAATTGATTGATATACTTGTAATGAGGGAAAGTAAGTATTGTTTCATGTAGTATAGACGAGTGTAGATTATGTCTTCTAGATGTTTAGCCTTTTTAAATCTTTGCTGTGGAAAATAAGTCTAGAAGTAAATAGTTTAGGCATCCAGAACTGTTTACTTAGCATAGGATTGAGGTATTTGAATGCATAGGATTGCTATTAATGATCTGTGTCCACTTAGCATACACTTTTACACTACTGTAATCTCATGATACGTGTATGAAAAATAGACATGGTTTCTCCTTGTGTTGATGGAGTTGTCAAATAGGGAGATTTGGAGGAGGCAGACAAGGGGTTGACGGGTGGTTTGTTTGGACTTTCTCTAGAGCTTCTTGGTCTTTATTTATTTTTTGAGGTGCTAAACCTTTTGTTTTAGTTGAGGGTAGTTTTGTCCACGTATGAAAAAGTTTTAACAGCATCTACCATCTGTTAAGTCATGTTCTAGCGTATCTCTCTGATGTCAAGCACAGGAAGGATATTGAAAGGCCTGATTGTGTGTGTTCAAACTGATTGACTGACTATTTGTGCCAAGCCATATATGTCTGTTTATCTTTTCTTTTTTTTCACTTGTTATTGCTTCAAATATGCTTATGAGTCATGAGAATCCCTCTGATTCTTTCTTTCAGCTGTCGATCATGAGTGCTGTGTGACCTCTCTCTTTGTCTGTTACTCTAAGTTGTTAATGTGATGAACAAGGAAATACCTAGTCGCTCGAATCCAAAACGAAGATGTACAGAAATTGAGAAATGCTACTTTGAATTCAAAGTTGCCCAGAATTGCAGGTATCAAAATTCAAGATGGATATAATAACTCAACTGCAAGAACAGGTGAATACAATTGCAGGTCTTGCCTTCAACACCTTTGGGACGCTTCAAAGGGATGCTCCTCCAGTTAGGTTGTCTCCTAATTATCCGGAACCTCCTGCTAATCCATCTAGTGCTGCAGAGGATGCAGCTAGTCTTGCTGAGCAACCAAAGCTCATGAGTGCTGCACTTGTCAACGCTGCCAAGCAGTTTGATCTGTTGGTAGCTGCCCTTCCATTAGCTGAGGGAGGTGAAGAAGCTCAGCTGAAAAGAATTGCAGAACTTCAGGCTGAAAATGATGCTGTAGGCCGAGAACTACAAAAACAACTGGAAGCTGCGGATAAGGAATTAAAGCAGGTGCAGGAGTTGTTCAGGCAAGCAACAGACAACTGCTTGAACTTAAAGAAACCAGATTGAAGGCTAGGCAAATTTTCAGCATAATTGTGATAAGCATTTTGTAGTACTAATCTGTTTGGTAACATTGCACTCTGCTCCAAGTAAATTTTTTTTTTTTTTTTGGCACTGTGAAATCCCGTTAGAAAATCCATTCCTCATATCTATCTGAATTGGGCTTAGTATGTTTTCAAGTACGAGGAGAAAACAAAGTGAAGCTCCTGAGGATGGACGTTCATAAGTGAATTACCAATGGCCCATGTAAATATGAGCGACTAGTAGCACGGTTGTCAGCTCGCAAGGCAAAGGTGCTTTGTACCCACCAAAAAAAAAAAACAGATTATGTTATTACCTCTGTTTCATTTTGATAGTTCTAATTTTTTTCACATAATTTAAGAAAAAGTAGTTAACTTTGTTGGAAAAATAAATATAGGTTGTTATTTTTTTAAAATATCCTTACATTAAATAGAGTATAACTTTATATTAATTATTTATAAAAACTTGAATTAATGGTTTATGAGAACTTGAATTGATCGTTAAGAAGGTATCAATTCTCATTCATATATTAATATGTGTTGGAAAATCTAAATGTATTAAATGGGGTAGCTTGTATTCAATAATAATCTATATTAAATAAAGTAGTTTATACTAATAACAATCTACATTGAATAAGTGTATTTTAGAGAAATTAAAAAATAATTATATTCTTCAATTATAAAGTGAACTGCAATTTGAAACAAAGGAAAAAGGAAATCGGGACTGTCAATGTGGGAGGGAGTATTTAAAATAGATTGCCGAACTTTGTTGTTTGCTGCCTTCAAATTGCCTTATTGCCAAAAAGCCGAACCTTCAAAGTACCATCAAGGCTTTGTTGGAAGGCGCGCCTTCCTTCCTACATTTCAAGGGCGTGAACTTTGAACTTCCGGAAAGAAGAGTAGAAAAGACGGCTAAAATGTGTTCCTTGCAGACAAGTGCGTGATTGATCCTGTATTATGCACATTTTCAAGCAACGATAGCCTTTATCTGCAATTTTGTTATATATAATTGTTTTTTTTTAATCTCCCATCCTTCCCACAATTTTTTCACTTTCAACTGTCATATTCAGGATTCGAATTCTAAATCTGACAGCAAAGAGAACTCTAACAGCTCTTCCCTAACCACTAAAATAATCTCAGTGATTCGTAATTGTTAACTTTAGTTAGCATGAACCAGAATGTATGACCTCATTACCCACCCCTCCAAAGCCTCAATTTCGAATCATTCATTACGATGCATTTGCTTTCATATTCAGCTCGTTAAACTTGAATTTATAATTCCAAAATTTTGACAAGCACAAACTTTTACCTCATAAAAGCGTCATTTGGCAAGTTATAGATGCCTACTCGTGCTCAACTGCATAAAGTCCTTTTGGATGGGAGTATTTAAAAGTTTTTTTTTTGTTTTTAAAAAAAATCTATAGCAATATGATATATGTAAAGTGACAAGATAATTGAGAAAATGTGTCGAAAGCACTTCGAAAAACTTTTTCTCAAAAAACTGGCAACTCAAATGGGCTTCAAGTTTTCCGTTTCTGCAAATTCCACATGACTGAAATAAAAAAAAAAGATGAGACTTTGATTTTGAGATTTTTTAAAAATCAAAATTGGAAAGAAACAAATTTTCAACCAGAAAAATAAAATAAAAACTCGGGGGTGAATCGAGACTTCTCAAACCACAATCCAAATGGAGCCAAAGAGAGGGAGAAACATGCAAATGAAGGATTAAAGCCAACAATTTTGAATGATTTAAGTCTAAGAAAGGGGAAGAAGAAAAAGAAAAGAGAAGTAAAATTAAAACTAAAAGCTGAAATAAAGAAAATGAATAGCCAAAGGAGCATTGTGCTGTTTAAGTTCCTTTGGGCGAGTAAAACATGCAATACGCAAAATCATATGACATTGTCAAGCATTGACTTCAGCAATATGACTAGAACGACAAACAAGTAGATGTTATTGATGATAAAAAAAAAAAGATGAAAATAGAATGACAAACCAAGTTTAAGGAGCATAAAAAGGATTAAAATAGATGATTAACGATATTGACTTGGACAAAATTCAAAAAAAAACACACAAAGGAAATTGAGTTGATAAAAATAAAATAAAATTGAATGCTATTGATTGATTAACCAAAAAAATGGTGAAAAGAGAAAATAGAGCACGCGCGATGACTGATAAACCCAATGACGGAGCTAAGGGGGACTGAGGGACCCCCTTCCTAAGTTTTGAAAATTTTAATTCATAATGTATAAAAATGCGTGTAAAACAATGTTTGTCCCCCCTAATTTTTTTCAATTTTAGTTTATATTATGAGAGTTTATATATATATATATATATATATATATATATATATATGAATTGGCCACCTTTGAATTAATTTTTTCTTCAAAAAATTATTTATCTTTTATTGTGCTAGTTATTTAACTTTCAAAAAAGTAAACATATGATGGATAATCCATAGTAAATTGACCCAATTTGATACATTATAATAAAAGACCCAATTCATAATCATTAATGGGCTAAAACAAAAGTAATTACTTTATTGGCTCATATACAAATGTACACTTTAGCCCAATTGATTAGACTCATTCATACTTTTTCTATATTAACTGCAACCATAGAATAGGTATTTTCAATTATGAAAATACTCAACACAGTTTTGAAACAAGATAGAAGATAATTTCTTGAATGATTGCCTAATTGTGTACATAGAAAATAAAGTTGTTGAAAAGTTTAGCACTAGTTCAATCATAGGTAAATTTACTTCTACAAGGAATGTAAAGCTCAATTTACTTTTAAGAAAAGAGATTGAAATTTCAGTGTGTGTTAACATAACTTTTATTGTTTTTTTAATTAAAAATAGTTATATTTATATTGTATAGTTATATATATATATATATATATATATTTTTTTTTTTGCATAGGCGACATATTGGAGCATCCTCTCATAATGTGCAACTTGGGTGGTTTGTGATATTATAAGATATTTAATTAAAGGTTATTTTTTGTCTTAATTTTTGTTATAACTATGCTACATATTTACAATATAGACAAATCTATATAATTAAAGTTAATATTTGATTTTTTTAGATGTCATATATTTAAATAGATGAAAATTATTTTGAACATAGCATATTAAGATAATATTATTAGGAAAAATTTTGCCCCCCTCCCCCGGAAAAAAATGTTGGCTCCGTCACGGGATAAACCTTTATTGTGGCCAAAACATAAGGAAATATATAGGCACAACAGCCAGACAATGGGGATCGAAATTGCATTTCTTTCTTAATGATTAATTTTCAAAAGTTTCCAACAGGGTGTGGCACCTATCACTAAACATTTACTAAGTTTCATTCCACTTGCTATCTTTTGTTTTGGATGCAAAATGATGAATATGCTTTGGTGGATGCAGTGTGCTGCTCAAGTGCAGTGGTAACGCAGCAAGTGCATTTAGTGGCCAGTGATTTATTTTACCCTAAAATAGATAATATTGAAGTCAATTTATAAAGCATGTGACCTAGTACAAATGGTGAGTCAAGGTCAGGCGTTTAAATAACAACTTATTGGCATTCAAGTTTACTATTCTAAGATGGTTTTCTTTGGTTTTGATTATGGGTGTAAAACGAATTATGCCTGAGTTTTTCTGAAGTAAAATTAGTTCAAATCAATTAATAAACTAGAAAACAAAGCATCAACGAGCATATTGATCGAGTTATCATTCCCCTGCTAGAAATTTGAAAAAAAAAATAGTGTTCGAACTCATTTTCATACACATAGAAAGATGAGATTTACGTACTTATTCAACTTCTACTCGAAAATTTACTTTCATTAAAAACTTTGTTCAAGTTGGAGTCCGATAAGCAGTAATTTCAAGTTTATTACGAAATCCAACCAAGTTTTAATGTTTCAGTATTCAGTTCGTTTGCGTTACTCTTTTCTAGATAGGGTACTCCAAATTTTCAGCAGAGTTAATGTTGGATGTCATTCCAAATATATCCCATCATCTATTTTTAGGTAAGTCAAAATTATTGCCACGCACAAGCAAAAATCATATCTCTAAAAAACCACCTTTGTAAAGTGTTCCACTTAGCCGAAAATAAAGTCAATTTAGGCAACTTTTATTCAGAAATTTGTTGGAAATAGCTCTAATCGCAAAAAAAAAAAAAAAAATTAGGTTTCTCATAGACAGTATTGGTAGAGAAATTGTGTATGCATCTTGGAATTCCATTTCCATTCCACCAGCAGTCTTGTTCGAAGACTTGAAAAAAAAGGAAAAGAAAAACAAATAATCACACCTTTATATCATCATGTCACCCTCGACGATACAATTTAAATGTGAGACGTAGTTGCTAAATTATCATATCTTCTAAACTGCCAAGTTTCGCTTTCTAAAGCCAACGAGCTCCTTCCCAGAATCTTTGCTGTCCAAGACAATGGCAGCATAGGTGTTCGAAGTACCATTTTCGGCTGCCTTAATAAGGAGGCCATACTCAGTTTTTGCACCAATTTGTTGGCTTGCAGCCTTTAAAACATTTTCAAACTGGATATTTTCTTTCTTTTGCTTGTTGTTTTCGTCCACAGCAAATTTTCCTACCGTGACAACCAAAGGGTCCTCAGAGTCTAGTGCACGGAAAGCATCCGTGGGGCCTAGGACCTCGTTGGCGTCATCGGCAGCCGTCGTCACCGAGACGTCGAAAAGTGTAGAGGAAATCAAGAAAGAGAAGAAGATGATGAGAAGGGGGCGGAATTCTTTTGCCATTTTTGGAGGGTTTAAGTTAATTTTTTTTGTGAGTGAAAATGTGGGCACGAGGAGGTTTTGGACCTCTGGTTATTATGGCCTGAATTGGGAGGGTATGGTTTGGAATTTATAGCACTTTCAAGAAGATGGGATTAAGCGTTTTGTATTTTTTTTTTGAAAATTTTTGTTTGTTTTGGAAGGTATCTTAAATGATATATGTAATATGTAAATCTCAAATTGAATGTCGATTTCCTGGTTTAGTCATTCATTAGATCATATCCCATTTTATGCAAGGTTATTCTTCTTATGCTTTTCATCATTTGTTAAACCGTAAAAAATTATCAAGGAGGCATTAGCAATATTTAACGTGAGATTCATGTGCAAAGATTGAGAAGAAAATGAGATTGAAACTGCCATTTAAAGTCTTGACAGTTTATTAAAAAAACAAAAATAATTTCGATAAACAAGTTTAAGGAGGTGTCCGGTTTAGGGGATTCAGCGCTGATAATCACTAGCATTTATGACACGCACTAATGTGTCTACAAATGATTAAAAAAATGTTATAAAATTTTTTTATTATATTTGTTGAATCATTTTCAG